TGTATCATTTTCTACAATTATACAACTATAATTACCTACTTATTGGGAATAGTAGTTACTTTTTCACGTCAACTTGAGATGAGCTCATATGCGGTGGATAAGCCGCCGTGTGGTAGCTGGACACAAATGAGTTAAAGGTAAAGCAACTTTAAAGGGGGGGGGGGGGGGGGTATCATATGAAGCAGAGTGAAATTGCGAGTTAGAGGCTTGTAAAGAAGACGTGCGTTCTGAGACATGATCGCTCTGACGCAGCAGTTTACCTTTGAATGCTCTGGTTCCAATCTGAAAAAAAAAACACAAGGTGTATACCATGATCGCTTTGTTGTAACCATGTAACATAATATCAGCGCAAGACAAAACTGAGGTCAAACATGTGATCAAACAGTTATTCGATCAAATCAAAATGTTAAAAATCTTTGTCTTCACCTGAACGGGATGAAGAGGTTCAAAGACATGCGCGCGCCCGCATGCAAGCACGCACGCACGCTTGCACCGCACACACACCCACACACGCACGTGCGGACGGACGGACGCACGGTCATACGGAAGGGTGACTAGAACTAAAGTTGACGCACCATGTCATTCTGCTAGCAATTTAGCTATCCCATCGAAAACAAAGGTACCTTGTGTCTCGACTGCATAATCGTAACAAAACGTGGGATCGGGGAGAAAAAAAAACACAAAATTTTGTCAGCATGTTTTGAGCCAATTACCACAAAACTGTTAAAATACTGTGTGACCCTTTCAAAATTTCAGAAAATTTTTTTAACAGCAGCGGGTTTGTAATATGTTAGCCGAATAGCATAGCAATTTGGAGAAATGGTGAAGAGTAAAATGTCAGTCTTCACCTTGGTAGACGTTTGGAGGTTCAATTGTTTTTCTTGTAAATTGCTAGAGTATCGAGAAAACATATAGCACGCATATATTGCAGCCATTATAATGGCAAATTTGTCTTCCTTGTAATTGTCGGGCTGCTTTTTTCGCAAACTGATTTTTGGCTGACAGAGGAACTTGCCCCTGATTTGTACTGAGGAGGAATTCTCGCACAGGAAATTCTGCTGCAGCCCATGCTCCCAGAAAGAAACAACACGCATGAGCAAGACAGGTTTACACCCTTGCCGAAACGTTGGTCACAGTCCATGTTCAATAATTCCTCGCCACTTCAAGACCCATCTTCACCGCATGTATGACGGCACTGCAGTCTTATTGTCTGAATTGATCTGCAAGTACTTGTCAATTGCATTTTGAAGCTGTGGCTGCATACATTCTGTTGTCTTACATACTTGTAAATTCATTCGAATATCCGAGCGGCAAACCAAATTTTTTTCTCTTCAAAGTACGTTTCATGTCTCGGGGACACGAGACACAAGCAAGAGGACAGACGATGCTCGTTTCTCTATAACGTATGCGTATTTTCTATTAACAAGAGAAAAAGCGCAAAACTCTATCAAAATATTTTGTCATTTGTTATTAGAATACCCGGAAGAGCAGCCCAATGCATTACACATGGCTCTAAACAATGACCAGCACTAAGAAAAGTACCTCCGTGCAAATACCTCTGTGACAGCCCACGGCTCCTAACAAAAAGTAAAAACAAAATAAAGACAGGATATGCGTTATGTGCTTGAAGCATGGAGGAACGGGTAATGAAGATATGGAAAGCAGGGGTGGTCTTAGAGATATATATATATAATCATTTTGTGCTAATACTCAAGCTGATGCTGACTACGCCATTTCATTGAGTGTGTTATTGTTCAATGTTGCCAAGGAACTATATATAGCCGGTGCCAATATTGCCGGCGTCATTGAGTATTTTTATTTAATTAATTTATTTTCATTTATTCCAGAGAGAATTTGCTTTCGCAGTATAATATGTTCGCGACTTGCCTTAAAATGCATGTCGAGCAATGACAGAACAAGGGCCTTTTATTTCAAAATATTCTCGGTTTGTCGGTTCTCTGTGAAAAAGTGTCTTCCGAATTAGCTAGCATATGACTTGACTATGTGAAAAAATGGTAGTTTCGCTAGTAGGTGATACATTATGATTAACGGACGGGTCGAAGATTTTGACGGGACGAGTGTGTTGTGTTAAGCTATATATTTTCGTCCCGTCAGTTGGCGCGCCGTTTTTTCCGATAATGTATAAGAACAGTAACAACAAAAGAGTTCAAGGTAACCTAATTTCTGCAATATCTCTTAATCCTTCAATTATAAGCTCTGGGGTATACAACTTAACACTCTGAATAAAAATTACTTGTACTTATAATAACCTAATAAATCTCCAGCACTTATTGAGTCAACCACTGGTTTTCGATATACACAAACTTCAAGAAATATGGGCAAGCATCCGCACGCTTTAATTACCTGCGGGGAAAACTTAACGATTATATGAATTTATATCTCAGAGGATTACGATGTGGTTGAGGCTAAAACATTCTGCTGCTTTATATATATCAGGCAAGGTAATTTCTTTAAAACGCGTAGCCAACAATCAGAGGGGCGTAGCCCAAGTTTTATTTCGAGACGAGGAGGGGGCGTGGCGACCTGCTCCTCAATTTCAGAGTTGAGGGCTGTTTAAAATCTCCTTTTGCCGACAATGTATGTAATGTGCGGAGCCAGAAGCGCACCCAGTGTAAAATCCATCGCCACAATACGAAATTGCTTAGACCAAGCGCCTTCTTACATGTGCCAACTTCGTAGCGTTCTCGATGTGACCATGAGCAGTGTTTGCGGCAACGCGATACAAATAATGGCGTCACCGGCATAGCGCCGCCTTCTGCAGTAACTTGCGTAGTTGTTTACATTGACAAACCGTAACGGGAGACGTACTTACGTTGACATTTTTCAGTAACGTGAGGTTTGGCGTTACTCGTTACTTTTTATTCCCCTATCTCGGAAGTTTAAATTTTTAAAAAAACTCATTCGTCTTATAGACGCAACTTTCGCAAAGCTCGTCCCGGCGTTTTTTTTTTTTTTTTTTTGACGCAGGGGCGAGCTGTTGGCCCACCAAGCAACATCCAAAGCGTTCGAGCGTACGTGCAGTCGTATTCATTAAGTAGCGAGGCAAGCTGTGAGATGAGGGCTTTAAATGCAGCTGTTGCCTAACCTCTACAACAAGTTTTAGTTATTAAAAAGTTCTCCGTGAAGTACTGTATATATATAGCAATAGTTATTACCATTATTTTCGCGATGAAATTCGACTCTTTCTATCGGAAACTGCTTGGTACACATTTCAATAGTTACTCTACTTTTGGGCGAACAAGGCTTATCTTAAAGACCTTCACATGAACATCCGCAATTTTTACGACAACCGCTTAAAAAGAAAAACCGCTTAAAGGTGAAAAAGTTGTATATGTGTGAATTAAATAGGCAACTTCGCGTCAAAATCCTAATCACACGGAAGAAAAAAACGCCAGGCCTGCGTGGAAGGCGCAGCACAGTCACAGCGAAGGCTAAAAGAGCGGCCTTTCAAAGCCTTTTCTAAACCCTCATTGGGTAACTGCTGCAAGCACACTTGCTTGATGCCCACAATGACATTATAATAAAAAAAATAGGGTAGTAGGCCGGCATTCGCTATGCTATTTTCGTCATTCTTCTGAGAAGCGTGGTATCCGCTAAACACTTGCAAGGAATTTTGTTCCAATTAATTGCTCATGCAGTGGCCGATGACGATGAGGAATTGTGCCTGAAGTGGGTATGCGCCACAGTTAATAGGTGAACAAAAGCAAGCTTTTGTAATGGGTTTAAGCATTGGACGACCCACTCGTTACGCCATTCGCATTGTGCGACGACTGCTTGTTCTTTCGCTGTTTTGAAACGCTTTGTAAGCCGTATTAACGCGATTGATTTCCCGACATAAAGCCTGTCTAAGGCAAGTTTGCCAACTAGTCCCAAGCACCGGCGTGACTCAGTGGTAGAATACTGGGCTGGCACCTAGCAGACCCGGGTTAGAGCCTTACTGTGTCGTTGGTACTAGGTTTTTGTTTTTCTGATTTCGCGCGATGTGGTTACGGACACCGGCGGCGGCGGACAACTACGGTGCTGCGCGAGACCCGAGTTGTTATATCATAACAGCTTTCGCTGTAAAACACATAGACAGGACGATGCGTGATCTTGGCGCGTAGTTGACTATTTAATTCAGACATGTGCCAACTGGACCAACAGCGAGTTCTACTAGTGGATATGTGTGCGATAATTTCTTCCCCGGAACTAATCCGTCGAGCTTTTCTTTGAGGCGATAATGCTTGAGCATTTGTGTAGTTGGTGTAGAAGCACACCTCCAGAACTATTGTAAATTTGTTTTGAGAGTTCAGTGACTTTTTTCATGTTAAGGAGGGCATTGATGATTAAATCTCAATTGGTGCTTAATGTGACACTGAGAAAAATGGTTATATCATGTGACACAGAGTCCGCGTGTAACTACAGGCAACTACACGCAACGTAATAGGCCACTATAATACGTCTGGGCTCCGGAACATTTGTGCAAAGCATTCTCAGTTAATCAGTATTTCAGGTAAAATCGTTGTTTCGGCTGGCAGTTTTATATGAAATATAAAGGTGAGCTTTATAAAATTGTTCCTGTGTTTATGCAGAGAAGGCTAATCGATTCAAATGTTTGACCATGAAGTAATGGCAGAAGCAACGTGCGTTGCTTCTTTTTTTTTTTTCGTGACGGAGACGTTAACGCGTAACTTTTTTTAAGTAACGTAACGGCGATAACTTGTTCCTTTTTTAGTTGGTGTAACGAGTAACTTATTTAGTTACTTTTTTTTCAGCAACGCTTGCAACACTGGCCATAAGCATCATCCACGAACGCCAAGATGTACGTGAATTCTGCTTCTTGCAGCACTTTTCTGCCGTATATGATCAAAGGTGGCCTTCATCTATACAGTACATGCAGCAGTGCCTCAGCGGCAAATTTTACAACGACGCATGAATGCTTGCAGCCATTCTGTTCGAATAAAATCAACAAATGACAGTTTGGGCAATATTTCTCGCAGGGATGCAATCGAGGAGCTGTACCTGGAGCTGCGCGGAAGTCCACCAGAAAACCGGAAGGAAGTGCACGCTCGCAAGACGAAGCTCAGCCTCGCCTGGTTCGCCAGCACCGTGGGTCTAGCCATATTGCCCCTCGACATTGGTGTGGCCATCAAGTTCCTTGGATGCCTGGCCGCGCTCAACATATTTGTGTTTCCCGGTACGCATTTGGAATGTGATTGCTGGCGGTGAAGAAATAGAAGCTGCAGTGCCGCAACTTCAGGTCCTGGCGCTGGTTATTCATGTATACTAGGGTGCCTAAATGGTTTTCCCTCGCCAGCCCCTGCGAGGGAAACAGTTCAGGCACCCTAATATATACGAACTAGTCTCGAGTGACGAATGTCGCCCAAATCTCGAAAGACGTGTAGCCTTCTTTTCTCGCTCTTTCCTTTTTTTAATGTAGGTTTCAGTTATTATTATTGTTAAATTTGATCTTACGGGGGGCGCCACTTCATCTCGTCTGATACTTAAGCATGATCATATAAAGAGATCCCAAACACGGTGCTATACGAACGCCGAAACTGGGATTTCAGAAGCACCTAGACCGGGATCTATCCGGCGAAATAATGGTGATGTACCGCGTATTGACCCCCCCCCCCCCACCCTCATATATTGAAAAGAAGTAAAAGGAAAATAATGAATCATGTACAAAGATTGCATGCTCTTTTCGTTCTATAGCGTTTAGGCAAAATTCCATCATTTCGAGCGTGGCTATTTTCCTTTCCATTGTTGTCTCTCCCTGGGCCTGCTCTGACGACATACCTCGCACTACTTCTACGTGTAGGCATGTGCCTGCTGGGCTACACCCAACTTAAAGGTGCCCCGACCACCCATCTGCAATGGCATATGCTTGTCGGCTCCCTCATGGTGTTTGCAGGGGCCGTCCTATTCGTCGTGGTCCTGCTGCACATCGTGCTCGTCGAACTCGTCTCCGGACATGCCAACCACCTCTGCTCCTGACAGTGACCAATCGACATATTTCTCCTCTGCTATATATACTATTACAGTTTAGTTGTGTGTATTGAACTGAATGTCCTCTTTTTCGAAGATGCAATAGTTTTCTTAAACTCTGTGCTGAAATAAAAGAAAGTTCTACTGTGTCTGATACGTGAGTCCTTGCCAGTATATAGATGTATTGGCGAGAAGAGGGCGTCTTTTGCGCTTCATCACACACACACACAGGCACACGCACGCACGCACACACACACATGAACACACGCACGCACAAACACACGCACACATAAACACAAATAAGTAAATAAATAAATTAACAGTGTGGGATGGGGGAATCGTGCAGGTATACATATGAATGTGAGAGAAGTTGGTATTGAGGTGTTACATTTCGAAAAAAAAAGGTGTTGCCTAGAAGGCACTCCGAAATTTGGGCCGCCAGGTGAAAATGTGTCGCGATAAATGAATTATATGCTATTACTGGTTTGAACATTTACTACGGAACAACTTTTTTTCTTCAACCTCGAGACTCTAATTTTTCATGACTATGATTGTTTATTTCTTTCTGTTATAACTTTCATTATTTTTTCCATTTCTCAAAAAATTGCAAATTGCTGCATGTTTAACATCTCAATTGTTTTTTCGCGAGTAATGTATTCGCATTTTCTGTTTTATACGTTCTTATATGAAATGATTAAAATACTTTGGTAGCGAATGAACATGTATCACATTGTATGACAACGCCTGAAGTTCCGGACGTTAAAACTTGGCAGTGTCAACTCATTCAAATTTCATGTCTGAAAGTCCATTAGCTGAAGCCACCGCCGCACCCCCGTGATGGCAAATTTTAAAAAGTTAACTTTGTCACAATGTCACTGCGCTGTGCGGTGAAGCATTATGCAAATTTGAAGGGCTGCTGGAGGACGACGTAGCCAAGGGGTGGCACACCGAGCTCGTTCCAAGCCCGTGTTTGTTATTTTTCTTTTCTTTTTTGCCATGGCATACAGAGCCCCCAAAATGACACTCGGCAACATCTGTCTGCCCTACCCCCATTTCAAATTGGGGGTGCGCCCACCCCCCGGAAAAAAAATGAAAATTCTGCCTACGCCTTTGGGTTCAACAACATTAATTTCAAGTTTGTTTTTTCTAGTTTAACAAATTTCGCGTTCCATTACCTTTCAGGAAGAACCCGCAACATCCAGAATTCATTGTTATAACCGATAATGCGGCATGCGAGTACTGCTGCGAGCGGGTTAATCCACCATATCAAACTTACAACAATTGACGGGGCAGCAGCTTCTAATTGTTATACCGGACATATTGTTCAAACTGGTAGTGTTATAAGCAGGTTTGACTGTGCACAGTGAAAGCAGCCCTAGAAGAGTGACTGTGGTAAAGTTAAAGGTAGCATACACACAAACTCGACAGCATACTATTCCAGGGGATATTGCGGCGCCGTCTATGGATTGGGATCAGAGTTGGCCCGCGGAGAGGCAGGCAGGCTTGGCCTGATGCTCTCGCACGTGGCAGTCGCCCGCTGCGCGCTGACGTGCGCATATCCGAACAAAATAAACTTTTGCCCCCACCCACTTGCCGCCCCTCCCTTTCCTACAAACACTCTATATACGGCGAGCATCCACGTCCACAGCCCAGTCCACGACGCCGTTAGCGCGCCGCTCCCTCTCTAGCCCAGTCAAATTCGTACTGACGTTGTGATGACCGGCAGTACACGCTCATTACGAATAGATTGCCCGAACTGCCAATTTCTCTTGCATGAATTTCTACCAGCGTGTGCTCGCATCCACCCTGCGCCGTGACGTGCTGAGTAGCCGCCACGTTGCTCCGTACGAGCACCGCTGTTCCATTCTCCGTGGGGTCAGTGTACGTGACGTACCCCGGGATTCTTGGTTTCCCATTCATTTCTTGTAAAACAATTATATCGGGCTTGTTTTCTTGCTCGTCAATGTGTAACAGTAGCTCCGCTTCTTTTTTGCGAATGCCATGGCAGTTCCATTGGTAAATTACGGTAGTGTCCCCCCCCCCCCCGGTCTTGTTATGCCTCTTACTCAGCTTCTGCATCATCCTTTCCGGACGTCTCGAGTCGACCGCGCCTTTTCGCGATCGCGTCCTTTATTCTTTCGGCCCACTCCTTTTTCTTTTTCAGGGACGCAAACTGGTTCCATACCGACGTTGAGACTACTTTTGTCGCTAGGCGGTCACGCTTAACCGGGAGCGTGTGACGCTGACTCTCGATAGCTTCAAGTCGGGCATCCATATTGCCTAGCCTTACATTACTTTGGGTGATTGCAGCCAAAATGGCCACCGGCTCTCCTTCTCGCGGGATCTGCGTCGTTGCCGTGGTCGTGGTCTCTGCAGTCACACGGCTCTCATCAGCGTCCATTGCCTCTTGGTTATTCGATGCCCGTTGCGAGGCCTCAGCCTCTCCCGTATACACCTTAGGCGGGTTGAGGGGGGGGTTGCTACGCGGCACCTTGCTCAAGCCTCCGGTGTTGTTTACAGCCGTGGTATTGTTTTGGGGTTTTGTGTTTGCCGAGCTGCCATTACTAACTAGCGTTTCAATCTTGCTCAGAAGCGCTCGTACTTGGGCGTTCTGCTCCTTGATCTGAGCATGTTGGCGCTCAATAATTTTCTTAAGCTCTGTCACTTCGTTAGTGTCTTTTTGCGTATTCCCTTTAAGAGATTGGGAGGGCGTGAGGGGTGGGGATTCGGTTTCACTGTTTTGCGTGACGGGAGACCTGTTTATCCAGCCCACCTTTTTTTTGGTGATCCCTCGATGCTTGGTTGACTCGTTCCGGGGCTACGAACCGGCCCTGGAGCTCAAACTGGCCCGGCAGCTGGAGCCAGTCCAGCGTTTGAACAGGCCCGGGACTCCGAGGCAGTCCTATGCGTCGTCTCCCAGCGGCGGTTGCCACCGCCTTTGCCACCCCCGGATCATTGCTGCGATCGGGAGCGGCTCTGGCAGCCGTTTCCACCGCCACTGTTGTTGCTGCTGCAGTCCGACGTTTGTGACCGGTCTCGTAGTTTGGAGGCGCTATGGCAGGGTCCACCTGCAGGACCTCTCTTGTCTCGGTTACCTCTCCCAGCGTCGTATGGTTCCTCCACTCAGCGCCGCTCCCAGCGTCGCCGGCGGACAATGTAAGGCATCTTAAAGCAGGCTTTCTAGGCCCTGTCCGCGGTCAGGTGATTGCCTCCGCACAGGCCACACTTTACGATGCAATTTGACCACATCGTGAGACAGGCAAAAGGGTTGGCGGGAACTAGGCCACTCCTGATCCTCGGTGACTTTAACGCCCCTCACACAACGTGGGGATATAAGTTCCAGTCCAAGAGGGGGAAAGCGTTCGCCAAGGTGATGAATGATCACGAGATGGCCCTCCTGAACGAGCCGGACGTAACCACCAGAAGAGGCAACAGTGTCGCGAAGGACACTACGCCAGACCTGACGTGGTTATCGGGCACACTAGACGTCACCTGGGCAAAGGAAGACGTGGACTTGGGGTGTGACCACAGCATGATCGGCATTACGATCAGAGGCTCCCGATACCGGGCTGTACTGGGGAAGGCACGTATCACGGATTGGGACAATTAAGATGAGGAAGTTTACCCAAGAACAAGAAGAGGCGTCCGAGGAAGAATTGAATCCATCTGAAAGAAAACAGACCTACAGTGAATGGGCGAGGGACCAGAAGAAGGCCCTACAAAAATTCACCCAAGAAATCGCAACGACGTCGCAGACACCGTACGTGGATGCTAGACTAACCAACATGTGGGTGGCCCTGCACTCGTTAACGCGGTGGTGGAAGCGTCAGAGATACAACAAAAAACTGGCCAAGCGCATAGCACTCTTGAACAAACAAATCGCCGAGCACGCGGCCAAGCTCTGCAGGGAAAATTGGCTGAAGACCTGCGACGGCCTGCAAGGCAAGCTCTCGGCACGGAAGACGTGGTGCCTTTTGAGGTATCTGTTCGACCCGCTGAGTAGCAAAACCGTGACCAATCGCAACGTTGCCAAAGTATTGAACATTGTTATGCCTGCGAGTCCACACCGAACGTCCATGCCTCTGAAAAAGGCAATCTGTGTCAAGGCCAGCACGTGAGCCCGCCTGACGCGACCAACTCAACGTCGTCATCACGCGGCGGCGCCGATCTGTCCCGCAACGCACATCGAGCTCCGTCAGCCCATGAGCCCGTCGAAGCAATCAGCGCCTTCCTGTCTGGTGAGTCTGACGCAATGCGTGGTGACGTCACTCGTCCTTGGCTGCAACCACGCGCAGCGGCTCCGGATTCGATGAAAATGACGTGGCCCAGCGGCGACCCCATTGAAGGATTCTGACCTCACTGCCAGCGGCGCTTCTGGTTGGACATTTGGTTACTCAAAGAATCCGCCCGGTGTATATAAAAAAAGCCCTGCGGCGCGTCGCGAGTAGTAGACCTATGTGTCAGAGAAGAAAGCTCGGTTCTTCTAGTCTCTCAGCTGTCGGCCCCAGTGCCGAATTTGTAACGCATCTGTACATATGCTGTACATAAACCTTGTTTAACTCACCATCGTCTCGTCCGCTCGTCTATCAGCTCTGCGCAGAAGCAGTCGCGAGCTGAGAAACCTACGCTGCCAAACGGCTGGTGACCTTCCCGGTGGAGTTCGAAGCAGTGGCGCCTTCGGGACCGTGTTGGCGTTGCCGTCTTTCGTAACAGTGGTGGCAGCGGCGAGGTTCGTGGCGCCCTTCGTAACGTCATCGGAGGCGCGCTTCGTAACAACATGTACAAGGGAGACGGCCGCAGACTCCTGGAAGATCTGAAGGTGAAGTACCTAAAGACAGAGAAGGGCCAGTACCCGGTACCCGAGAGGTACGAGGAACCTGATAACGAAAAGCTCGATCGGCCGTTTACCATGACGGAAATGTGGACAGCGATAGACCTAAGCAACAAGAGAAGCGCACCCGGCAGGAACGCCATAACTTTCAAACTACTCGGTAACATGAGCGATGCAGCGGCCCGCGGCCTCAGCACATCTACGAAGCCTGGGAGAGCTCATGGTTGCCGAAGGAATGGAAGGAAGCCGAGGTCCACTTTATTCCAAAGCCCGGCAAGGCCCTCCCGATAGACAACATGCGGCCCATCTTCCTCACGTCCTGTGTGGGAAAGGTGATGGAGCGTATGGTCCTTCGCCGGCTGCAGAAGCACCTTGAAAAAACAGATCAGATGCCGGAGACGATGTATGGCTTCAGGCAACATCTCAGCACCCAAGACGTGATGATCCAACTCCACGAGCTGGTCGTCAAGCAAGCAACGAAGCACGCACCACGTGGGATACTCGCCCTTGACCTGAAAGGAGCCTTTGACAACGTGTCGCACGCGAGCGTGTTGCGCAATTTGAGCAAAACCAGGTGTGGCCGCAAGACATTCATCTATATCAGTGACTTTCTGTCAAACCGAACGGCGACCATCAGGATAAGAGAGGAGAAATCAGACCCTGTCAAGCTCGGTGATCAAGGCACCCCTCAGGGGTTTGTCCTGTCGCCCCTGCTCTTCAATCTAGCCCTTCTGCCCCTACCCGGTCTGCTCAAGCAAATCGAAGATGTGAACCACGCGTTCCACACCGATAACATCACTTCGTGAACGGCCCGAGCCAGGTCCGATGCATGGGCAGAGGAAGCCTTGCAGCGGGTGGCGATGACCATGCACGAGTATGCCAAGTCGTGTGAACTGAGTTGCGCTCCCCAAAAATCAGAGCTGCTCATGATCCAACCAGGAAAACCCAAGAAAGAGCCGCCGCCTAACGTGACTATCACCATCGACAGAATAGCCATCAAACCAACACAGCAAATCAGGATTCTCGGTCTACTGCTACAGAGTGATGGGAAGGCACAGGCCGCCATCACAAAGATCAAGACTACAACCGAACAAATTCATGGTATGATTCGAAGGGTATCCAATAGAAACTAAGCCCTGAAAGAGGACGATGTCATGCGCTTTGTACGCGCGTTTGTCGTGTCACGGGTTACCTACTGCACCGCGTATTCACAGCTGACGAAGGCGAATAGGGACACCCTCAACACGATGCTTCGCAAGACAACGAAGCAAGCACTGGGCGTGCCAATATACTCGTCTACGCTAAGACTGCTAGGCTTGGGCGCCCACAACACGGTGGAGGAGCTCATCGAAGCTCACCTCTCTAATCAGAGAATCCGGCTCGGTCAGGACGAGCTGTCCTGCGCAAAATAGGATGGCAGATCGAGCCAGTACCCATCAAGGCGGCCCTTCCGGAGGACTGAAAAACAACAATTCAAACGAAACCCCTTCTCCGGAACATGACGCCGGGCAAGGACGACGAGAGGCGCATCGCGAGGGCCAGAGCCATGGCCCGGAAGCTCGAAGAGAACCCCAGGGTCATGTACATGGACGCCTCACTCCGAAAACACAGTGACCATGCTGCGGTAGTGGTTACCTCCATTGACAGGCTAATCATCAGCGCATCTCTGAGGACAAAGGACCCTGCAATTGCCGAGGAAGCGGCTGTGGCACTCACACTCGTATAGCCGAGCGTGGACGTGGTCACCGACTCAAATACAGCCTATGGAAGCTTCCGCAAGGGAGTAATCTCATCCGCGGCACGAGTCATTCTATCCAAATGCAAGCCTCCGGGAAGTATCGTAGAGCTGGTGTGGGTCCCGGCTCGCTCGCAGGTAGCAGGCAACATCATTGCCGACTATCATGCCCGAGAAATATCAATCCGGGCCGAGCCTGAGCAGGAAGAGCTACCAAACCCGGTTACCAGCTTTCAGGACATTACCCAGATGTACGGAGAGGGAAGGTGCATGGAAGGTGCAAGGAAAGGTACCAGAACCACACCCCGACCTGATCAGGACACAACAGACGATATTGCCGCCAGCACGTAGTGGGTTGGCAGCAAGAGCGGCTCTAAATCTGGAGGAAAAAAGAAGATCGCGTTCATCTCTGCTCGAGAGCCAGCCCCGACTGACGCATCGTCCTAGAGCTAGCCACCCGGTTGTTCAATAAATCCCCCCAGTACTTGTGACTCATCGTGACAAACTGGTGGAAGGTGCTGGGTAGCCTCACGGATGCTGCAGACCCCCCCAGGAAGCCGTAATACGAGTCCAGTGCCAGTCAACACTCCCGTGCATCGGACCAGCCGCCGAATCAGGGGATTGCCTCCGGAAGTCAACGATACTGCTCCCACCACGTCAACAAACATGACGAGCACTTCGGTACAAACCTTGGCAACCGGCACGGGAAGCACGTCGCCGAACCGCTATACGTTGGAAAGCCCACGGGCACCGCCGACGTTCCATGGTACGGAGCGCGAAGACGTTGAGGACTGGTTGGCGGACTTCGAGCGCGTAGCCAACTTGAATCAGTGGGACGACGTGGCGAAACTGGGTCGTGTCTACTTCTATCTCGAAGACGGGGCTCGCACGTGGTATCAAAATCGGGAGGAGCAGCTGACGACGTGGCCCGAATTCTCTCGTAGACTTCTGCAGACATATGCCAGCACTGACCGCCAAGAAAGAGCTGAACGAGCTATTCTTGCCCGCGTCCAGTCGCCAAACGAAACTGTGACCGCGTACGTCGAAGACATGACGCGCCTCTTCCGACGGGCCGATTCAAGAATGACTGAGGACAAGAAGTTGCGTCACTTGATGCGCGGTGTCAAGGACCAGCTTTTTGCCGGCCTCGTGCGAAGTCCTCCGAAGACGGTCGCGGAGTTCTTGTCCGAGGCCGTGACAATGGAAAAAATGCTGCAGCAGCGATCCAACCAATACGACAGGAGAGTCAGTGGCATGTCTACTGCCGACATTTTCACCGCCACTAGAACCAACAACGACTGTCTACGTGAACTCATCCGTGATGTAGTACGTGAAGAGTTACAAAAGGCTGGTGTAACACCTCCTCCTACAGTCAACTCTATTGCGACTGTGATCAAGGATGAGCTGCACCAGGCCCTCCGGGACACCTTGCCTCGTGATACAGCTGTGCCAGCTCCTGCTGAATACCGCCGTGAGACAACCTACGCGGAAGCCTTGAAACGCCCTGCTGCAACGCCGCCATTATTCGTCCATCCTGTTCCTGCTGTTTCACTACAGTCAGCGCAGCACATACCGTACTACGAAGGCACGTACACGCCACCGCCCCTGCCCTTTGTCCCTGGTGCTTCTGTCGCCCATCGTTCAGTGCAACCAGTTCAGTACATCGACGATCGGCGCACGTCTCCTCGTAAGTCTGATGTTTGGCGCACACCTGATCGCCGGCCTCTGTGCTTTCACTGCGGAGAAGCTGATCACTTGTACCGCCAGTGCCCATATCGCCGTCTTGGGCTTCGCGGCTTCTCTGCGTACTCGCCGCCACCCCGTTACGGTCAGAGACCACGCGACATCCAAAACTACCTCTCCCAGCAGCATGCACCACCATCTGCCGGGCGCCAGTCGCGCTCGCCATCACCGAGGCGATTTTCATCAACGCCCCAGCGGTATTCTACCGCACGATCTCCCAGCCCCCGCCGGGAAAACTAGCCGAAGCGACCTCTGGGGGCGGGGTCGCTGAACGTCGAAGCGCTGAAGACCTCCTATTGACGCAGAACAATACAGAAACTGGTCCGACATCAACTGCTGCTGCAAAGGATAGCCGGCTTTCACTCGACATAGCAGTAACAATTGATGGTTGTGTAGTTAATGCGTTAGTGGACACCGGCGCAGACTATTCCATACTGAGCGGGAAACTGACAACGCAGCTGAAGAAAGTAATCACACCATGGCATAACTCGCAGATTCGGACAGCTGGTGGCCATGTCGTTACTCCACTGGGTGCCTGCACAACTAGAGTACAGATTCAAGGGTACACATTCGTAGCAAGCTGCCTTGTTCTTCGTGAATGCTCCCGTGACGTCATTCTGGGAGTTGATTTTCTACAGGAAAATGGAGCTATCATTGATCTGCAAGAGCGCCGCGTCACGTTCTCAGCCCAGCGAGCAATCAACGTGCAGGATGACGGAATGCGTGTCGACGTACTCCGTATTTCTGAACAGAGCGTGACGCTTCCTCCCCGAGCCAGTGTTCTAGTCGACGTAACATGCTGTGGTTTGAGCGTTGGCGATGTGGTGGCCGAGACAAATTTAGAACACCTCCTGCAGCAAGGCATATGTGTAGCGAGAAGTGTAATACACGTTCGCGACGGCCGATCTGAATTGCTCGTTACGAATTTTAGCAATGAGCATCGACACCTTTTCCGTGGCACTTCGATAGCGTTTGCCCACGAAGTAGCAAACGTAACCAACTGTCTCACGTCAGAAGTAGTGGATAACGCAGACACATCAATGAGCAACATTGACATCAATCCTGATCTGTCCACCGATAACCAGACTGCGCTGCGAGCGCTCTTGTTCGAGTACAGGTCTTGCTTCGCAAGTTGCTCGAAGATCCGCCAGACGTCCATCACTCAACACAGGATCATCACGTACGAGGACGCACGCCCAATACACCAGCACCCCTACCGCGTGTCGGCTAAAGAACGTGAAGCGATACGTACGCAAGTTCGCGAGATGCTTGACGATGGCGTTATCGAACCATCCAACAGCCCGTGGTCATCTCCAGTCGTGCTTGTCAAAAAGAAGGACGGGTCGCTACGCTTCTGCGTCGATTACCGAAAGCTTAACAACGTGACCAAAAAGGATGTGTACCCGCTACCGCGTATCGACGATTCGCTAGATAGACTTCGTCATGCCCATTATTTCACTTCTCTCGATCTCAAAAGCGGGTACTGGCAAATCGAGGTAGATCAGCGAGACCGCGAAAAGACAGCCTTCGTGACTCCAGACGGCCTATACCAATTTCGAGTACTCCCTTTCGGCTTGTGTTCAGCGCCGGCGACTTTCCAGCGAATGATGGACACTGTCCTCACAGGGCTGAAGTGGCAGACTTGTCTTGTCTACCTTGACGATGTGGTGGTCTTCTCTGCCACGTTCGAGCAGCACCTTCAGCGCCTGCGCAGCGTGCTGGAGGCTATCCGATCGGCGGACCTCACACTAAAGCCACAGAAGTGCCACTTCGGCTATAAAGAACTAAAGTTTCTTGGACATGTAGTTAGCGCCGAAGGAATCCGTCCCGATCCGGACAAGCTTGCCGCTGTTGCCGAATTACCAGCTCCTGTCGATAAGAAAGCCGTCCGGCGCTTCCTTGGTTTGTGCGCCTACTATCGCCGATTCATTCATGGCTTTTCACACATAGCAGAACCTCTGACTCGTCTCACAAGAGACGACACACCGTTTGTCTGGGAAAACGAGCAACAAGCAGCTTTTGATGAGCTGCGACAGCGCATGCAATCAGCGCCCGTTCTCGCTCATTTCGACGATGATGCTGACACGGAGGTCCATACCGACGCTAGTAACATTGGGCTCGGTGCAGTGCTCGTTCAGCGTCAAGAAGACATCGAAAGAGTGATAGCCTACGCCAGCCGCTCTCTATCGCGTGCTGAGGCGAATTATTCCACTACGGAGAAAGAGTGCCTCGCAGTCGTGTGGGCAATCACCAAGTTCCGCCCGTACCTTTATGGTCGTCCCTTCAAGATAGTGACGGACCACCACGCCCTCTGCTGGTTGGCAAGCCTGCGCGACCCTTCAGGACGGCTAGCACGGTGGAGCTTGCGGCTGCAGGAATTTGACGTCACCATCGTCCATAAGTCCGGCCGTAAGCATGAAGACGCTGACACACTGTCACGCGCGCCCCTTCATGTCGGCAGTCAGGAAGCAGAGGAAGACGAAGGCTTCCTGGGCGCCATTAGCTCATCAGACTTGAGTAAACGGCAGCGGGATGACGCAGAGATTCGTCCGATCATCGATCATTTAGAGGGCCAGGACACAGTCATACCACGTCATTTATTCCGTTCGTTGCCGTCGTTCTGCCTTCGAGATGGTGTGCTGTACAAGAAGAACGCTCGTTCGAACAACCGTGCCTACCTCCTGGTGGTTCCTCGAGACATGCGAGACGACGTCCTCTTCGCTTGCCATGACGAACCCACATCCGGTCATCTGGGCTACTCACGAACACTTGCCAGAGTGAGTGAGAGGTACTATTGGCCAGGACTTTCGGCAAGCGTCAAGAAGTACGTGAAGAGCTGTCGGGAATGTCAGCGCCGAAAGCAACCATCTGTTAAGCCAGCTGGTTTGCTTCAGCCCATTGAAGCACCCTGCACGCCGTTCGACCAAGTCGGCATGGACATTCTCGGGCCTTTTCCTATGTCTGCGGACAGCAACAAATGGGTGATCGTCGCGACCGACTATTTGACACGCTACGCTGAAACCCAGGCGATCCCACGAGCCACGGCTTCTGAGGTAGCACAATTTTTCATGCGCCACATTGTGTTACGACACGGTGCTCCTTCCAGTGTAATAACGGACAGAGGGACGGCATTCACGGCGCAGCTTACGGACGAAGTTTTCAAACTGAGCAACACCAGACACCGAAGGACAACTGCGTACCACCCGCAAACCAACGGACTTACTGAACGACTGAATAAGACCCTCGCAGACATGATCTCAATGTACATCGACGTACAGCACAAAACATGGGACCGGATCTTGCCTTACGTGACCTTCGCGTATAATACCGCCGTGCAAGAGACCACGCGATTCACGCCATTTCGGCTTCTCTACGGCCGCGAAGTGCAGACCATGCTAGACTCAATGCTACCGTGTCAGGACGAAGACGAGTTGGCAACAGACGCCGAAGAATTCGCAGAGCGTGCCGAGGAAGCCCGGCAGCTCGCGCGACTGCACATCGGCCAGCAACAGCAGGCAGACGC